TCAGCTCTGCAGTAAACTACTCCTTTCTGATCTGAGGTTGGGTGTTGGTAGACGAACCCCTTCTTGGCATCATAGATAACGTTGCTTCCATCCACTTTGATCTCTTCTGCTGGAAACTCCTGGTGAAGAGTCACTTTTGCTGATGGGTTGGTGACTCGGCAGGGAATCACAGCAGGTTTATCTGGGTTGAGGTAGACCACTTCAAAATAGCTGGGAGCAGGAACAAATAATTCTTCTTTATCTGTATAAAGAAGCAATCCAAGGTGTGTGTGTGTATATATGTGTTTGTGTGTGTGTGCGCGCGCGCGTATATTATGTGTAAGTATTGTACACTTCATTACAATGTTAAGTTTGGGTTAAATTTCCCCAGGGAAGAAAATAATTACCACAGTTCTGGATTTTATTAACAATAAACGTATCTAATGATATTTACCAGTTGTTTCCTTTAAAAATAAACAAAATGAGACAACAATATTTTATATATCTCCATCAGAATATTGTTGGGGACATTGGAGTTGGAGGCCTTCTAAATTTATATATATATTAAAATTTAGAAGGCCCCCAACTCCATAAAGACTCTGGGCAGCATTAAACATTAAAACTAGTAACAGCAATTAAAAAAACAAAACAAAACTAGAAAAGTTGGATGTACATCCAGAGAAAAACATTTAAACTAACATAGAAGAGCCTATAAGGGGCTCACCGCCCACCTTAACCCAAGGCCTGAGGAAACAGCCAGATTTTCAAGGACGTTCTAAACAGTAGCATTTCTAATTTAGCTGCCAATCATGGGCAAAATGCCTATCATATCTCAGGGACAGAAATAAGTATATTACTTTTCAAATTCAAATGCAGCATTCAGGCTTGGCCTGCTTGCAATAACACCCTGCCAGCCATGTATTTATGGCCTGTCTGGTGCTTGTCAAATATTGTTTTGCAGTCTTAAACAAAGAGGAAGGGTGTGTGTGTGTGTGTGTGTGTGTGTGTGTGTGTGCATATACAAACTCACAATCGGTTTATTGAGCTATACTTAACCTAGTGGGACATCAGTTCTTCAAGTCTGTTGATTTAACAGAAAGGCAATATAGTATTGCTAAAAGAAATAGGTCTTAATGATGGCTTCAAAATCATAGTTATAGCCCCAGTGCAAGTCCTTTATTACATATGGTCTCATGCTCCACAGAACCACAACTTCCCTGTCAGAAGTTTTTAAAACAGCCTAATTTCAAAGACCTCTTGCAATATGTTGAGTGACAGCAAGTCTGGTTGGAAAAAGCAAACAATGAATACTTGAACATTTGCTGCTCATTCTGTTTAATGTATCTGCTAAATATTTAAGGAATGGAATGAAATTTAAGATTGGTTTAGATTACTTCCTAGAAGCACTTCCAGTATTATAACAAAGAAAGGGTGAACTGACTGAAGTTAGCCAAATCTTGTTCAGAAAATGTCGATAAGTACATGGTTTAACCAGCTCATGTCTGACATGTGCTAATCAAATGGCTCTCCACTTGGGTAGACAAGGTTCCCCTCTCCCTGTCCCCCCCTCTCTCTCTTTCTCTCTCTCTCTCTTCCCTTAAAACTATGTGGGTAGACTTTGGGTTTCTGGGGTCTACTTCGTTTTTGTCTAGCACAAAAACCAAAGCAATAACAAAAAAAAAAAGGGACCATATATTTGCTGAGTATCAAAAATGAAATTCAGTTTTTTCTGCCCAAAACCCCATTCCTGCTGACTCAACCTTTCTTCGTTTCAGCAGTATAATTTAGTAAAGGGAGGGAAGGAACGTTTTTGTGTTGTTATTGTTAAAGGTTTACTGGAAATCTGAAAGCATGTGTTGTATATTCTAAATTGGTAAATACAGAGCTGCATTTTAACCATATCCTATGCACTATGCTAATTCAGTCTACTTAAGAGTAGCAAGATGCAAGCAATCTGAGGATAGACCAGAGCTCTAGATTTGGATAGAGGAATATTTGAGAGGGAAAAACAGAAATAATCTTGGTTTCTTTGGAAATCATTGCCCAGTTTATTACCTGCAAAAAATATGTACGTTGAACCTGTTTTTGACTCATCCTTCTTACAGCTGTAGCCTTTGCATAGCAGGAGCCAGCAACTGTATTCACCAGTATCGGCTGCAGTGGCATTTTCCAGGATCAGCTGACCATATCTCTCATGTTGTTTGATGCTAGCAAAAACAGAGACACATGAAAAAATCAGCCTCCTCTGCTGATCTTATGTTCCCCTATTGCCTTGTGTTATTATTTGGATTTTTCCTCTGTAACTTTAATCCACTTTTGTTAATGAGATGTCACATTAAAAGGTGGAACAAAAGTTGGCAGGAAAGCCATTTGTCAATTTTAGTGTTTTCAATATTTTCTTTGGGTCCAAAAAAGCGCCAACTGTCTTCTTTATCCTTCATGAAATATTTGCACAAGGCTTTCAGTATAAATGAGAATATTTCCACACTTGTTTGAATAATTTTAACTTGTGAAATGTCAATCAAAATTTCAGAAAATGGAGACATTTGCTCCAAACATTCCATATCTTTCTCCAACATATCATAATACAGTGGCACCTCGGGATATGAACTTAATCCGTTCCGTGACTCTGGTTGCAACTCGAGTTGGTCTCAAG